CGCGCGTGAGCAGACGCTTGGCCAGGGTCACTTGCGCGTGGAGGAGCGCCGCGTCCAGGGGGAGGTGGCGCTGCAGCGTTGTGAGCACGACGGTCATGGGGTAGATCGGAGGAGCTGGGCGGTGGGGGGAGGGGTTTAGGCCGATGGGGGCGGGATGGGATGGGATGGGATGGGATGGGATGGGAACGGGGGGGCGGAGAAGGAGGAGAGGGGGTTCGTGCGAGAGGGAACGTAGACACGTGTTCGACGTGTTGCACGTGTTCCACTGTTGCCACGTGTGAGACACAACGGGTGGAATTGGGACGTGAACAGGAGGACACGTGGAGAGGGAATCGTTTCCGCATTGGTGCTGGGGAGCGCAAAACGGCAGTGGAAGGGGGGAAGTGGGAAAGGAAATATCTCAAAGCGGCGGCGTCTCGAGGCTGCGCGGAACCAGCAGTCGCCGTTTCCTAAAATTCCTGCAGCGTTCAAACGCGCCCAATCGCGTGCCTTCCCCTTCCCGCCTCTCTGCAGCGGCCCAATCCGCGCCGCGCACTTGCCGCCAGATTCTGGGCAGCCCCCGCTTCCGATATAAGCCCTTCCACCGCTGTCCCACGCCCTTCCTTCCCCCCGCCAACCTTCGCTCCCCCCCCCCCCCCCCTCCCCCCCTTCCCCGCCCCGCACGCACCATGCCGCCCGTCTTCGCGAGCTCGTCCGCGCCGCCGCCGGCCCCGGAGCCGCACCCGCCCGTCCAGCTGCACTGCGCCGAGGCGCTGAGCGCGGCGCTGTCGCCGGAGGCGGAGATGGACCGCGCGAAGACGGTGATGCAGTCGTCGCCGCGCATGCCGGCCGTCGCCTACTTCGGCGCGCGCTTCGGCGACAAGTGGTACGTCGACCTCGTCGCGCTGCCGCACAACGCCATCCGCTGCCAGCTGCGCGCCGCCTTCATCATCGCCAATGCCCTGGGCAAGCTCGCCCTGGACGTGGGCGAGGCCGATCTGGCCCGCGTCTACGCCTGGCTCGGCACACTCGATAGGTTCGTCGCCGCCCTGCTCACGGCCGAGGACCGCTTCGTGTACCCGCTGGTGGATGCCAACTTGAGAAAGGCCAAGACCCCGGAGGGCGCACAGCTGCATTTGCCGGAGCTGCTAAGCCTCAGGGGCAGGGATGTCGCGAAGACACGCATTCGCGAGCTGCTGGCCGATGCGAGGAAGACTAGGGATGTCGCCACGGGCGCGACGAGGGCGAAGATTAATGCACTCAGGTTTGCCCTGGATCAGTTGGGTGCCAACTTGTTGGATTACTTTGCGGCTATGGAGAAGTTTGTGCCCAAGCTGTTGAAGAAGGCCTTGAGGAACGGCCCCAAGGAGAAGGATAAGGTCGAGAAGAAGATGTTCGAGTATCTATATGCCCAGCCGCACGGCGCCATGTTGGGCGCCCTGTTGCTGCAGTGCATTGAGAGCAGGAGCAGGAGGGCAGAGTTTGTCAATCGCAATATTAGGAAGAAGAATGACCGCGCATCCTTTAAGCTTCACGTTAAGAAGGTCGAGGCGAGCCACATGAGGCTCGCTCTGGCCTTTGATGATGTCGCCAACAAGTATGAACGCAGGTTTAATATGAGCACGTTTGTCAAGCATTATGATGCCAATACTGACGGATACGCGCAGGAGACGCTTGCCATGTTTGGCGACATGGATATCAATGCTGAGGGGGAAGGGGGCGCCGATGCGCAGAGAGGGGGTGATCAATATTCGGACGATGGGGAGCAAGGCGCGGGCATGGATGACGATGTGATCGAGGTCCTGGCGGAGGTCACACCGGAGGAGGTGGTGGCCGGCGAGGACGCGAGGACCCTCGAGGAAGCCCTTGCGGCAGAGGAGGCCCGCGTGATTGGGGACGCGCACATCAGCGACACGCGCATCGGCGACGAGGCAGCGAGTGCGTCACCTGAGCACGCGGTTGGAGAAGGCCAGGCTGTAGACGCAGCAGATTACACCTAAGAGGAGGTTTGTGGAAGGGAGCTCTTCTGACTTTATAGCTGGCCGCATGGTTTTTGTCGCTGTGCCTTTTTTGGGGGCGCGCGAGAAACATTTCACTTATTTTTTCGGGTACGAGATGTAGGATAGTAAATGCGTAGAGGTACGTTTTCGATTATGCTCCGCGCATGTCGCCACCCATCCATCGTCGTCTTTCGAAACGTGACGAAAATAGATATCGCAGTTGCGTCAAGTTGTGGCCGTACGCGCAGGCCCTGGCCGACGGCAGGACGAACCGTGGCGAGATCGCGTTGTACGGGCAACGTTGTATGGGCGGCGTTTATTGGCAGCAAGGCACTTGCTGCGGTTCTCTCTCTCCCGATTATTCGCGTCGAAAGGCGATGCATGGTGTTCGTGTCTACGAGGAAAATAATCTTGCAGGCGGGGTTTGGAGATACTTTGCGGCGCTGGAGTTCTCCGCCGAGATTAGGCTGAGACATGGGGTGGAGGAGGTGTTGGGCAGGAACAAGACGCGGGACTTTGGAGGGGACCGCACGGACATCGCGCAAGAGCTCGGACGGTCGGTGGTACGGCGGCCTGTCCATTGTGACTTTAACAAGCTCTTTATTTTTTCCCGTTCTTGGAATTCCCTGAAATCCGACAATGCGTGCTCTTGAGAGCACCGCTGAGATCAGCGGTATGTGCAGCGGATGCAAGACGTGGAGGCGAGCACTGGATCATCCGGTTTTGCAGTGTATGTACGTTTGAAAAAGGTACAGTAGACACTGATTTGTACCTTTTCCACGGCGTGAAAAAGGTTTTTGTTTGATTCTGAGGATGGCCTGCCTGTCTGGTCTGGTTGGTGGGCAGTACCGTACGGGTTTTGTAGTGGGTGCATTAGGAATTGCTTCTGTGTCTGTATCTGACACGTGTTTGCAACAAGGCTTAACGGGGTGCCAATGTGGTATTTTTCACGAGATACGCAAGAAGGGTAAATAGAAATTATTTGTTCACCAACGCTACAGCCGAGTTGGTGTCTCGCAAGAGTGGGGGCTCGAGCAGTCGAGCCACATCACCAACGAGATACAGTATAGAACACTACAGTAGTCTTCATGAGGGGTCAATGATGGACGAGGGTAGTGTTTTCTTTCCTACTCGTACCTCTTGTCACCCCCGCCACTCGGGAGGAGGGCTTGCGTGTAAAGGGAGCATATGAAGGAAGCATATGAAGGGAGCATATTGTGGTGATTCCTTGATATGACTCCAATCATTCCTCCCTCACGTCGTTGGCCAGCGGCACCTCCCCTTTTACTCTGCCCAGTGGTTACAGTATCACACAGAAGGGAGCAAAACAGGCGGAAGTTGGTCCATCTTACAGTAATGCACCAAAGTGCATACAGACCCCACGAGGTTGTCATATTCCACAGCGAACATGTCCAGTGGCCGTGTTCCATGCACAAACAAGACTACTGTAGTGTAAAACTCTTAAAACAGTTAGCATACTGTAAGTATCGAGGAAAAGCAATGTACCACGTGGTCGCAACACACTGGTGGATGACGGGAATAGGGTAACAAGATTGGTGGAGTGAACGGCGAGTCCAGGTGCACGCATGGGTGGCGGCATCCCATGTACAGTACAAGTACCCAAGGGTGCCATACTACTGTACTTGAGCACTGTACGGAGTCCGTACAGTGGTGAAGCAGTACGGCACCGTACTACGGACAAACCCTTCGGTGTAAACCACAGAAGGCCTTAATCCGTGGAGGCGTCAGAAGGTAAGACGGCGCACAAGGCATCACCGCACACCTCCATACATGAAACCCACAAGCGGCCCGCCATGACAAGCGAGGTCTGGCTGTCGTTTTCAACCTCGAGCCAGCTTGAAGTTACACACATGCAAAACCCTTCTTGCAATGCAACCCGGATCACTGCTTCCCGTCCCGCCTGGACCGTGCCAGCCCTGCGCCGCTCACACTAGCCCTGCGCCGCCCACACCAGCCCTGCGCCGCCCACACCAGCCCTGCGCCGCCCACACCAGCCCTGCGCCGCCCACACTACCTCTATCCAAATCCTACCACAAGGTCATGTCGAGGTTTAATAATCGCCCCGCCCCCTGAAACACCGGAAACAACACCCACAAGACCCCAACCTCATCCATCCACGCGCTGATACCGCCAACGCCTCCTCGTCCCCGTCTTCCCCTGCCTTTGCGCGCGCTCCCTCTCACACATCATCCTCACCCATTTTACTCTTACACCCTGTTTCTGTCAAACACCGTCAAAGTCTGTGTCCTCACCCACTCGTCTACCAACCAACCAACCATTATCTAAACCACAGTCCTGCCCCCCAAATTTTCTGCTTGCTTGCCTCTCCAGCCGAACCCCTGCCGCCATCATGCCTTCGTCCACGATGAACCTAATAACACTGCTGCAAGAAATGCCCGAGCTGCGAGAGAAGATTCTCAACTTTGCAGGCCCAGAGGCTGCCGCCCGGTTGTCAGTAACGTGTCAAGCAACCATAGCTCTAATTCAGATCGACAACCGGTTATGGAACAACTTTGCAGCCTCTTCCTTCGGCAAGGAAGCAAGACTGAAAGACATGGCTGAAGGCCCCTTGACAAACCCGCGCTCCCATGCAGACCACTCGTGCAACTGTTTCTACTTTCGTTACTGGGCTACCTGGCATACATGCCGCCATTGCGACGTCTTCTCTAACAGCACCACCGAAATGGTCAGGGATGGTGACGGCGTCGTTTGCAATCGCTGTTACGATTGCATACAGAGGAAGAGCATGTTCTTTGACCTCTGAACACTAGTCGAAGGGGGTTGTGTCTGTTCTTCTACGGGTACACTACACCCTTGTTGATGGGTACCGTCGCGCCTGATGCCCTAGTAAAATGAAAGCATCAACTGCAGAGTTGCACAAGAGGCGCTCACCCTCTGTCGCTAGGGATGGAAATTCGCCTTATTTATACTGTGTAGTTGATGTCAAGATCTGCAATATCTCGCACCTACCGCAGAGCACTTCTGTCAATGAAAAAGTCTTGCATACGGTGTAACTGTGTGCACTTGAAAGGACTGGAAGCGGATCAAGCGCCAAAGTTTGTGCGTCTAACAAACGGCAGACGTCAGTTTTCACTGTCATTGTCTACAAAAATAGTCCAAGACCGTGTCCGCCCTGTGGTGCAGTCACCCGCCGTGGCCCGACAAAAAAAAAGCCCGTGCCGAAGTTGATGCTAAAACATAGCAGCGCCTGCGGCATGTGTTGTTCTCTCTTACAGTCGGGAAGCAATACTGACAACCTTCGCTCGCACATGTCCATAGGGTAGGCACGGAGAACGGCAAGATACGTTGCCATACCGCGGGCGCTATATGCGCTATATGGCATTTGCTGGCTTCTAGGTTGCGAACGGAATATACCCGATGGCCAAACTTCACTTCCTTCTACAGTAGTACCAAGGGTACTGTACAATGAGCTTCGATAATTGCAATCACTCTGCGGACGCGTGGTTGCATTAAACTAAGATGTTGCAGTTATGAAAAGGTGCATTATGACAACTGCTCAGTAACGAGAGAGGCTTCTCAGGGAGGGTCTTAACTTGCCCGAGTTTGCCCGGGTTTGCTTGCCCCGAGCCATGATTTGCACTACTATTGGCTACTGGGCGTTAATATATGATTTGAAACTAAGTACGACCCTACACTGCAAGCTCAAGTTATGTCAGTGTGTAATGACAAATGTCAATCATATATTGGCTACTTTTGTAAGTTTGTAACTTTCGAATTTGGACGCTGTGCTCCGGTGGACGCAGTGCTTGCCCCTTGCCGAAAACATCCTCAACTCCCACTTTGCAAAAATCTATGCACCTGCCATCTCGCAAAGGCAACCCAACTCTACGAAGCACCTCTCTGCCGACTACTTTCCTGAAAATGGCTTCCACACCTCAATGCCACGTGCGCCGTTCTCCGCGCCTCTGGCGCATCTCTCTGACTCCCACCATTCTTAAGACGGGGACCACCAACGCAAAGTCTCTCACTATTGCTTCCTCGTCTGCAGCGGACGTTTCTGACCAAATATTATCCCCCCCTCCATACGGTATGTACGACTGAATTCTTTGTCGTTAAAAATCCTGTTGGCTCTGACAAAAGTCCATCCCCGTCCGAGATCTAAGGGCTTTGTGAATTTTCGGGGTCGAGGATAGTTTGAAATAGCTTGGTGCAATGAAAGGAGGGAGAATAGAGCTGCGGTTGCGGTTAGTGCGGTCGTAGCAGTGATGATTCTATTGCCGTGCATTGCGTAGGAGTGATTAGATTGAGAAGAAAGGAGGGGAGGCGAACGGCGATACTGGGCAGTGGTTGTAGATCCGTTTTTTGACCAAACAGCGCCGGCGATAGATACGCTATCCCGCGGAGTAGTAAGGAGAGAAGTAGGGGGTGAGATCAATTATTTATCCCGGTGATCTGGGATCACCCGCAATGGCCACGTTCTGGGTCGGAAGCGAGCGACGCTGCAGCGTCTCGCGTCCATGTCGACGCGTCCCTGGGGCGAAGTTGTTTGACGCTGCAGCATGTCACGTCCCTGTCGATGCGTCCTCGGAGCGAATTTGTAGAACCCAGTGTCCTCCCCGTTGCGTTCTGGCAATTTATGGCGCTGTATGCCTCTGTAAGTCAGCACCGTCGCTCTGGGACACCTGTCCACTACTAACGTAAGGGAAAGGACACCTGTCCACTACTAACGAAAGGGGAAGGCGTGTACTTACATTAATAAATTAATAAATGACCGGCAAACTCGGGCAAGCAAAGCAAACCCGGGCAAGTTAAGACCCTCCCTCACAACTCACATTTCGGCTTTGAACCACTGTCGAAGTGGTTAACATGAGGAGCCTTTAAATCTCTGCTCCAGCTGGCGACGAGAAGCGCTCCGTTTACAACAGGAAATCACTAAGAATGGAAGGAACGGTTCATGACACAGCGAAAGCGCGTAGAGGCGAAGGGAGCGAGGTGGGGAGGGTGTCCTGTTGCCTCTGAAAGAACGGCCATGTACATATACTGTATACGGTATACAGTAGTTTTATGGGCAGATGATGTTTCGTCTGATGTTTCGTCTGATGTTTCATCGTTTTTCGAAAAACGACAGCTGAACCAATTCAGCCGCTCAAGGTTTGGTTGGCACGGGTCTGTGTTTGATGGGAGAGATGGTTTGCAAGTGATCGAACGTTGCAACAAACGTACATTTAGTTAATTTTTTCGAGCGTTTGTACTCGATAAATAGCAAGTTTGCTATGTTTCTCGTATGTTTCTCGTAGTTATGCTAATACTTTACAACGTTGCGTTTTGCAATTGCGATATTTTGTATGTGGATAGGCGTACAGTACTCGCAATGTTTGTTGTTCTGATTTGAAAGTTGCATCAGGGGCCTGTACCGAGTCGGTACAGGCCCCTGATAAGTTGCATCAGCAACTTTCGGTACTACCGACCTGCGACGCGCCACGCTTGCTCGCGAGGAACTCTCAAACCGACCGGTTGGCACAGACCTCGCATGGTGCGAAGGTTCATCTTATGGCGTGTGCACAGTTGGGACCCACAAAGGGAGGAATACGGGAGCATATAGTGATGTCACAAGTGCTCCCAGTTGCTTCGAAAGTCTCAAGTTTGTGGGCGTGAAGCTTCCAAAAAAAGAGAGTGATGCTGTTCCGACTGCGTCTCCTCTCTGTTTATCGCTGAAAGGCAGCAGTCGAAAGGCAAACCTAAAGTTTTGAACTTGAATCCAAAGGTTCAGCGAAATTGAGATGGTTTCAGCGTTTCGGTTCTGATTAACGCGTATGCGGCACAAGCTGTATGACGCCCTACCGTAGATAGGTGTACCTTACCTTACTGTTCGTGCGATTCTCTCCGTCACACGTGCTCATGTCCCCATGTCCTCGCGCTCTAGCTACACGTGTAGTCAAAGCGTGTAGTCGTCTCAGTGAGTCTTTTTCCATCGTCTTTGCTGATCTCAATCTCTGCAGCGAGCTCACACTACCTCGAAGGGTAGGCACGAGTTGAGTACGTATGGGGACCTATCCTTTTGATAGCAAAAGACTGTGCGAGTCACACGCAGCGTCTCCGTCACACTCTCTTAAAAGAGATGTACAGTTTCTGGATGGCGTCCTCCGAGGAGTCATGGATAAACGCCTCCGGACCAGCTACAGTATGCGCCGAATCAAAACTTCGCCGGTTCATGCCAGATATCGGCAAGTTTACTCAACTGGAACCCTCCCAGTTGCATCCATCTAGAGCGGCCCATCTAGAGCGGGATCAGAGGAATGATGAGCATCCCTCCCCCGCACATGGGTGATCGAACTGTTGTACCACTCGCAGGAAGGGTAGCCGACACCAACCTGTCGCCCTCTAAGCGCGCTCCTCCCTGGAATTTCATTGCTGCCGGAGATACTCTTGAGATAAAATATTCGGATGGAGCGAGCGGATGGAGCGAGCAAGGCGAAAAGTATTTGGTTTTTTTCTTTTGTTTTTAGATTGCGGAACTACCGTGCAAAACGGCACGGAAACAGCACCGCAAGTGTACAATCTTTCGAAAGAAACTTTCAGCTTTAGCTGCAAATTATTTTTGTACTGGTACAACCCAACTTCAATGTATCTACAAGCGTCGGGTGGCTATCGTTGAGAGACTTGGCTATCACGGCCGCAAGCCTGCGAGCTCAAAATTGAGCAGGAGTTGCAACTTGAGAGCGAAAAACTTGCTGACTCTCAAGCCCGACTTCCTGCGTGTCGGCATGCCTTGCAGCGTTCGCCTTCCACGCTATATGCTTGCCCTATCGATAAAATTGCAAGCATGCGTGCTTCTCAAAGTCTCCACAATTATATCCACGCGATGCACTTGGGTTTCCTCACCCCTGTTTAGTGTAAAACTCCCCACCCGTCGCTATTCAGCCCGGCAGATCTCCATTCTTGTGGGACGGAGAGCGTTGAGCTCCTCGCTCAGCGCGCTGGACACGTTCGCATACTTTGATACACCAAACTTCCTCTTGATCGCAGTTAGTTTGTTAGTCCCCGCCAAGTCCCGCTCATGCTCCAAGAGCCGGTACATCTCAGCTTCGCAATCTCTCAGGTCCTCCTTGGTCCACCCGCCACTGCAGAAGCACATCGTCCGGCTCCACACCAGAGGTAGGTAGCAAAGTTTCGCCGCCAGGCTCACGGCAGCCGCTGCGCGCACGCTTGGTCGATACTTGAGCATCGAACTGTCCTGAAGGGACAACTCCACGAGGTAGGTCGCGATGTGTCGGTGGTTATCGACTTCGCAGCCAACGTCCACGTGCGCTGCCTTGAGACATCTTTGCAAAAAGGTTAAGCTCGATGGCACAGTAACATCAAACCTGAGATCGTTGAGGATTACCGCCTCCATTGCCAGAATCTCTTCCCGTTGGTACGCGCGGTCTGAGATGTAGACGTAGTCGGCAACTTCAGGTGCGTAGATCTCCTCATACTTGCTCGCGATGAACATGGCCGTAACACCAACCAGCTGAAGCTTTTTCCGGAGCACTGGCTTGACCGCAAGGAATCGATCGATAATGTTGATAGTCAAGTGCAATGTCTGCGGCAGAAGCTTAAACTTCTCGTGCACGTCGACGAGCCAGTCTACGAGAATGGCTCGCATCTTGATGGTAATATCACACTGCCTTGACATGTATTCGGGATCGGGCATGAACTTGACCTCTGCATTCATAAAGCTAGCATGACTGTCGACCGCATACATAGCATTCGAAAGCTCGTCCTCATAGTCGCCCGCGTCGATATCAATGACGCCCGGTGGGATCTTAGCGGTTTCAAAAAGGTCGCATAATCGCAACATGTCATGGGTCTCCTCGATGGAGAAGGCGGCGAAATCTAACTTGCACTGCACGGCCGCGGAGGCGGCGGCTTCAACAGCTGCGCGTTTTGCAAGACGTCCGGACACGCGGCGCGCGGGTACGGAGGAGGTAGACATGGGCGAAGCGGACTTCTTCGCGGCGCAGAGGAGGGCGGCGGCCTTTGCGCGTTTGGCGGCGCCAGAGTTAGAGGAGGGAATCTTGGTTACTTTTGTGGCGGCGCCTCGGCGAAGGCGGGCGGCAGCGGGCTTGTACTGGTGGTGGTGGGAGTCTTGCTGTTGCACGGAGGTAAAGTTAGTGATGTCGCCAAGGGCGCGCTTGGGAGCGGCGGCGGCGAGAGTGGGCTTGGCGGAGATGAGCGCGGGGTCGGCATTTTCGACGTTGATGGATGAGTTTGCTCGCTGGGCGGCGCGGAAGGCGCGGGTGGTGGTGGTCATCTCGAGGAAAGGGGGTGGTGAAGGTGAAGGGGAAGGAAGGGAAGCGACCTCGAGAGGGTAGGAGGAGGAGGAGGTTGGGAGAGGGTTGGCGAGGGGGGAAGCTGAGGGAGTTGAGAAGGTGCGGCGGTGGGAGGGAGGCGTCTGGCGGAATGAGGAGCGGGGATTAAGAAGTGGCTGTGAGCAGTGGTGGAGACCAGGGGGTGATGCTAGATTGGGGTAGGGGGGGGATGATAGTATAGTTGGAGGTGGAGACGGTTACGGAGGGGAGGGGATTCTATTGGGCGTGGAGCTAAATTGGGACGATGAAGGGAGGGGAGAGGAGAGATGAGGAGACGAAACCGTCGGGAGAGGATAGATGAGGGGATGGGAGAGAGGAGATTGGGGAAAGAATATGCGTAGATGGGACGTGGTAACGGCTTTGTGAAAGACGTGTGCTTGGATGTGGTTAGTGGGTAGTTGTTGCTGTTACCGAAACGGAAGGGTGTTGGAGCAAAGGCGAAATGGGAGCAAATGAAAGTTGAGAGCGGTTGCGAATAGTAGAGAGAGGGATAAAGTGTGAAGGAACGGGCACGAGGGAGTGAGATAGATTATGCAGGGCTAAAGAAAGAATGGAAATTGGAGGAACGAGCCCGGGGGAGTTGGA